TCGGTTGAATTCACGGATACTTGTGGTCGTCAGATTTATTTGTTTTGTTCCAACATAAACGCGGGAAAACCGCCAAGTTGTACGGACTCCCTGCGGACTGTGTTCAATGCGTCTTCAAGGTCAAACGGCTGCCTGATCGTTCGAACTGTCGTCTGCTCTAACGTTTCTGCTTGTTGTCGTCTGCTCGTTCAAACCACAGCGACCCGTAGACCAAACGTTGACCCGGTAATTGCGATAAGAAGTAAGTGCAAGCCTCAAAAGGCTTTTAAGTTTGAAAGTAGGTTGGGGTAAGTAGGCTCGATGTAAACAGTAGATGCAAGGAGATGTTAATTACTCTGACGAGTGGCCACCACCGATTTGTTACGCCTGGTTCACTTGGTCCGATTCTGGGTGCGATTTGTAGTATCGACGTCGACCATCTCAGCAACGGTCCACGCTTTTGCAGCCCGAGCGACATTGCGACTGAAACTAGCGAGCAGAATCTCATCATGCGAATCAGGCTGTAGCGCCCATTCTGCGGCGTCCACGCGGAGTGAATCGTCGCATGTCACATTATTCACGCGACGTTTTCCGCTGTAACGAGCCTCGTGAATTTCGCTGAGGCCGCTAAAGTAATCAGAATGTCTGGGAATTGTATTGATGAGTGGTGTGCCTAGTTTGTTTGTGTTTGTAACTGGTCTTCTATACACTTTTCCAAGAAACACTGGGCCCCAGGGACAAGAGAACCTTTTTCGAGCCCAGTCACTGGGTTTGAGGCTAGTCTTTCGCCGGCGTCCCTGCTGACCCTAACCGAGTGGACTCTGATTTCGATCGGCGGAGTGGAGCCTGCGTAGGCACAATTTCAAACATTGCTGACGGCTAAATTTTCGTCTTTTCCGGCGGTTTGTTTATTTATTTATTTTTTATTTCTGCGCGTCGCGCTCTATGTATTTTTTCGACATTGAGAAAGCATTGTACCACATTTGAAACGGAAAAAAAAAAAAAAAAAAACTATTTTTGTTGGGTACGCGCCCGACAGAACGAATGCAACTGGAATGTTTGTTTTATTTTACGATAAGTTTTGACGGCGCCGCCCGCTCAGCCGCGTGTCTAACAACAAGCGCTTAGCAGTCGAAAATAATTCACAACCTAAGATAGCCTAAAGGCATGCATATTTCAAGCGCACAGATAACGTGATTACCGATGGACAGGTCTCGGATGTATAATTTAGCAAGTGTTAGCATTCGAACGATATACTATACGTACCACACGGTGTAGCATCATCTGACAAGGATTTATTTGAGAAATATCTCAAATAACACAGCACTACAGTGTCAACGACAGTCATAGCTTGACGATCGGACGGAATCCAAGAGGACTTCGTTTTGGGACACGTTTTGGGGAGCTTCCTTTTTTCACACCAACACCAAGGCAAACCCCCCCCCCCCCCCCCCCCCAAAAAAAAAAAAAAAAAAAAAAAAAAACTAATGCGACTGACTTGTTCCCTACCCCAACCCGAACAACTATTTTCGGGTATGATTGAAAATGACTCTACGCGAATTTTCTCTGGGTGGGAGGGAAGGAACAGTTGTCATCGGTTCGCAAAATGGGTTGAGAGCCGTTCGACGTCCTTCCTCTACTTCGTTTCCCGTGAACGTCGAGCAGAAACGCTTGAATGGCAGGCACTCACCAGCCCTTTTTCACGCAGAGGAAGATAACACAAAAAGGGTACGCACTATGCGCAAGAAAAAGTAAGTAGATACCCTCCAGAGAGGCCGGAAAACTTCGAATGCAAAGCCGCAAAACGGAGGTGGAGAATTGGGCTGAGCAGGTTTCCACAGTCCAAGAGAGTGGCAGAAACTTTCTAGGTAATAGGGGGCGCGAGAGTCGCACCAGCTGGATCATCATCAGCAACATGGCGGCGGCTTAGGAGCGGTTTTTGGAGAGGTGTATACGCAAGCGCTACTCTCTAACCTTCTTACTCATAAAGTTTGACCCGCTTGGTGAATTTTTTTTCTATAGACACTTCTACGATGTGGCAGGTGACTTGCACAGCGTATTGGTTAGAACTTGTAAGTTAGACTGCCACGCTCTGCTGTGCTAGAGTCTTTAGTCTGTGGCCTTGAAGTCGGAATCTACGAGCAAAAAGTACACCAATTTGGCGCGCCCCTTGCTTGCACGAGGAAAGTGACAAAAATGAGTGTATACCCGAAAACCATCTTGGGTTTTGACTTGTAAGGTGAATACGTGTGTAGTGGGAAATGGCCCTTTATAGAATCGCGGGAGGCCGTTCTCACACTTCCAACTTAACCACTTATGACGTTTTCCTAGAGAGAAGAAACCTGCGCTGTACACGTGTCCTCCGTATTATTGGAACGCCACCTATATTTCCGGGATCGATCTAACGAAAAGTTTAAAAATGAAAAATAAATGAAAACCAGGGTTCCTCCCCCCCCCCCCCCCCCCACACACACACACACACACACACATATATATATATATATATATCATGGAGATCTCAGCACTTCCTGAAAAAGATTCCGCCACTGGTTCGTGCCTTACGTTTCCTTCGTTCAATCCGTCGTACAAATAGCGGTCGGAACCGGACGCCCACTGTATATAGTAAAAGAGTGAAAACAATCGTAGAGGTACGCGGGAGAGGTCTGTGCGCCAATGCACCGTGGAGAATGGCGACCGAGCGAGAAAGCTCGGAGGAGGAGCAAACCCAGCTCGAGGCTAATGCGGCGCGCTTTCCCACGCGCGTCTCCGTCTGCGGGTCACAATCTCGCTGCTTGTTGGGGCTCGGAAACCAGGGCCAGATGGAGCTCGCCGGGAAAGCCGCTCCTTTTTTCCTGCTCCGTTCTTGCTGACCGGTGCTTATCGCACGGAAGCGAGGATTTAGATAAGCGAGGATTAGACATCGGGGTAACTAATGGGGCCGGGGGCTTAGTGGGGCTCAGGTGTCGGTTCTCGCTGGGGGGCGTCACGTCTGCGCGGAGGCGTCACGTGTCAAGTGCCACTTGCTCCCCGCTTCCTGCCGACGAGCGACCCCGCTTTGGCCTTCAGGAACGCGTCCCTCATTGGGACACGCTGCGAACTCGTCGCTGCCGAGAACCGACGGAATATGCGCTGACGGGAGGCTGACCGCAGGCAAAATGGACGAGGGGAAGCACATCATGCAGCTTTCTTTTTCTTTCCTAAATCGTGCACTGGAGTCAAGTTACCGCGTTGTTTGTTCAAATCACCACCAGCGTTAACAACGAGAAAATAGGAAGAAAACAAAAATGAAGACTTTGACGAGCGTGTTGGGTCTGTTTTTGTCCCTCTGTTTGTTTTGTGCTTTCTTACTGTTACAAAAATGTATTACAGTTTTTATTACGGGCGTTGAAAATTATCCAATTATTCCTTACTACAGTCCGAAGAGTAGTTGAATAGTACTACTGCCTAACCCTCGCTTTCGAATTAATTTGCCGTGTATCTCTAGTTGCCAGCACTTTTCCTTTTTTCGTTTATTGGAGCAGTCATAATAGTCAGCACTATCTATCACTTATTTGGTGATGCTTCGAAATATACTTCTGTATCTTTGTTTGGCGAATATTGAGAAGCGGGGCTGAAATGGCACCTTTCTGTCATTTCTTAAACCTCGCGGGAGGAAACGAAGGGGGTCGTCTGAATGCCGTGAAAAGTAGTGATTAGTATTACCAGTAATTCGATGGTCATTTCACTTAATTTATTTTAACTTCAGAGGCACGAGCCCTACAGATAAGGGAGTGCGTACCGGTATCGCAAGTATTATAAACGTCTGGATGGTTATTCTAATGAAACCAAGTCACCGCGAAAACTACCGTAAAGCCCTGCCGATACTACAAGCTTGGTTTCCGGGAAAATAGCAGGAGAGCGTGTGGAGAGTCGGTCACTACGATTTACAGACGCTGAAAAGGACGTGACCGAGCTCAGAATCCCAGTGAAGATAGTATTTCTGAGACCGAACGTTCTACTCTCCTGCGAATGAGGATAACTGGCTCTCCGGATGCTTCGCCGGAAAGAAGACGAGCATTTTTATTAGTCACCGAACGTTCGTACTATACGCGAGACTACACGGTATTCAAGTCATTCACTGGACAGTACCAAACTCGTTAATGACGGCATGAGCATGAGTATATATTTTGAACGAAACTGTGGTAAACGTACGCGCGAATTTCGCCCCCGAAAACGTAGACGATCCAACGACTTATTCCTCCCGGGGTTACCAAACCTCGTCACTGGGTTCTGCGCAATCGCAGCCGTGGAATCCTCTTAATTCCCCCGCGTGCCATCCGCATGCCGAGAGGGACACCTGCACTCGGCCCAGTCTGTGATTGCGGACGGCGAGTGCTATCAGTAGGTAGCGTGGAAGCGGTTTCGAAATAAACCGATACTTTATCCGGGGGCCTTTGAGAATTAAAAGCGTCTGGAGGAATAAAAATGGGAGCGACTAATTTAACGGCGACCGGGCTAGGCGATGCATCTTCACAACTGCGGTTACCCGGCGGGCACAGCGAAGCCAGTCTCCAGAGGAAGCTTCCACAAACAGTCCATTAGTGGGGCCGAGAGTTGGCCAGACGGCTTTTCACGACCTGGCTTGGCGCGAGAAGCTCGCAGCCGTCGCGGAGAGGGGCTTGTTTGGGCGGGGAGGCACCCCTGGGGAAAGGGCCGGGTTCCCTCCTCCTTGGCCTCTGTCCCGCTTCGAAAACTACTCTCCGCGAGATGAACTCCCTATGAAAACAAGACATCCTTCAACCGCGCGCGGGGTTCCCTCGCCTTTACCCGGGATTAGGTCGGGGTCCCGAGAAGCGTTCCAGGTGCTAGGGCCGACTGCTAATCCCCCGGCGACCCCCAAAATGCGCGTTTTCCGTCTCCATCGTCGCCCGTCCTCGCGAGGCCGGTGAGACAAATGGCAGGATAATGACCCTCTGTCCCGCTGCACCTGTTCGTCTGTGGTCAGAATGTGCGACTCCAACGATCCGTTTCTTGTTTCGCAGGCGGAGCCCGGCAGCGTCACCAGCAGCGCCACCAGGAGTGGCGAGTGTGGCGGAGGCGACGGGCCCGGTCGCTGCCAGCGCCGGGGAGTGGATCCCGAAGCAGCAGCGTGCGCGTCCAGCGAGGCCCGCAGGCAGGGCCACGTGAGTGCAGCGGTCATGCCCTGAGATGCTGCTCCCGGGACTGTTGCTGCTGCTGGCTTGGGCCAGCAGCGTCCAATCACGGGAACGTTGCGAAGACATCACCATCCCTATGTGCAAGGGGATTGGCTACAACCAGACGTCCATGCCGAACCAGTTCAACCAGGACACGCAGGATGAGGCCGGCATGGAGGTCCACCAGTTCTGGCCGCTCGTCGAGATTCAGTGCTCGGACGACCTCAAGTTCTTCCTGTGCTCGCTCTATACGCCCATCTGCATGGAGGAATACGCGGGTAGCGTCCCGGCCTGCCGCTCCGTGTGCGAGCGAGCACGCGCTGGCTGTGCCCCCATCATGCGCCAGTACGGGTTCGCATGGCCAGAGCGGATGAACTGTGATGCGCTGCCGCAGTATGGTGACCAGGAACAACTTTGCATGGACGCCAAGGAGGGGGCTCGGCCAGACACTGCCGACAGCAACTTGGTAGCCGTGCCACCTGTGCTTCCTCCACCAGCCAAGGAGCGTCCCCGAGGAGGTTCATCCTCGCGCACACGACCCTACGGACGGGAGCGACTCCCTGGATCCGGTGGCCGTGGTTCCATGTCCGAGTGCGAATGCCAGTGCCACGCGCCGCTCATTAACACGTCGGACCCGCACTTCTATTCGCGCGGCATGTGGTCGCGTCCACCTGAGTGCGCGCTGCCCTGCCGGATGGTGTACTTCAACGGCTACGACCAGACGTTCGCCACCTACTGGATCAGTACCTGGGCGGTGCTGTGCTGCGTGTCCACCAGCGTGACGGTTCTCACATTTCTGATGGACACCGCGCGTTTCCGGTACCCAGAGCGACCGATTATATTTCTGTCCTTCTGCTACCTCATGGTGTCTGTTGGTTACCTCATCCGGCTCGCTATGGGCCACGAACCCATCGCCTGCGACGGCAACGTCGTACGTTATTATGTGAACAGCCGACCGTTCGCTTGCACACTCGTGTTCATCCTGCTCTACTTCTTCGGCATGGCCAGTTCCATGTGGTGGGTCATCCTGACGCTCACCTGGCTGCTGGCTGCAGGTCTCAAGTGGGGCAACGAGGCTATTGCTGGCTACTCTCAATATTTTCATATCGTCGCCTGGGCTGTTCCCACAATTAAAACCATTGTGGCTGTTCTCCTGAGTGCTGTTGATGGCGACTCTGTAGCGGGCGTTTGCTACGTAGGCAACCAAGACCTGGCAAACCTTCGAGGCTTCGTCCTGGGTCCGCTCTGTCTCTACCTCCTGCTGGGCACGTCATTCTTGCTTGCGGGTTTTGTGTCCCTTTTTCGCATCCGATCTGTTATACGCGCCCAGGCCCGCGCCAAGGCCGACAAGCTGGAGAAACTCATGATTCGCATCGGCATCTTCTCCGTGCTCTACACTGTCCCAGCCACCGTGGTCATCGCCTGCTACTTCTACGAGCACCACTATCGCGAGCCCTGGCTGCGCCGCCTACGCTGCCCGTGTCCGCGCAACAACGAAGCGCCGCGGCCACATTTCTTCATGTTCATGGTCAAGTACTTCATGTGTCTAGTCGTCGGCATCACCTCGGGCTTTTGGATCTGGTCAGGCAAGACGCTCGAGTCCTGGTGGAACTTCTACGCCCGTCTCTGCGGAGGACGCCGCCGCAGGGGACGCAGCGTCGCCGGTGGTGGCGTCGGTGATTTCCCCGACCCCCATGTGCGGACATTCAAGCAGTCCATGAGCCCCGTCAGCCACATCGGCCAGCTGTCCAGCCATGGTGGAAAGCAGCTGCCTCTCTCGCACGTCTGAACCAGCTAGCCGGCGCTTGCTGACGCTCGCTGCCGTCTAGTCCTACAGCAGTTCCGCGCTTCGTTCCCGACTGCCAGGTGCCGTGGGCCGCGAGCGAGTCATGCTGAGACCTCTTTCGCTCCTCCTTATCATTTATGTGTGCTCGATTCCTACGGGAGCGCACCTAAGGGCCAGGAAATGAACCGCATTTGAACGCGGAAGGTTTGGAGATATCGCCGGCCACATAGTCAAGTAAAGAGGGCCATGTTAATAGAAAGAGCTGAGTAATTCAATCTTCAGGAGCTTTGTACATGTATCTCGTTTGCTTGCTTTTTGGCATAATTCATGTTTAAGTCCAGCAAGTGAGTGCTTTAGCCTTTTCTTTCCGAAAACTGATAGCTGCCGGGAAACGGCTACTGGAAGGCAGAAGTGCCGAAAGCGCACAACTCAGAGCGCACATTGGGCATTAGTGCAGACTGTAGAACGTGATTGGCAACGTAAATGTCCGAGAAACGTTTTCGTAGTGTTGGGAGAAAATATTTGTATGTAGCGAAACGTCACTCGTATCTAACTCGGTCAAAACGTCCATGGAATGTTTTGGAGAGAACGATGAACTTAATCTCCCTCTACGATAAGTGGCTGTGATGTCAGTGCGCGCATGTCTTCGCGGGCAGCGGCAGCGTTCCACTGAGTATGCGGTCGAGTGATCAAGTTTCATAGAAGCCCTCTTGAAGTTCTTGTGTTTTTTTGTGTGTGTTTTTCCCCCAAACGTCTGTTTTTGTCAAATACCGTACAATGTGTAGGCGTGTATAAAATTTCTGGTTTTCGGTGCGTCTTTTTTCTTTTTTTTCATGATTTGATTTAATAATTTGGCGTTACGTTTAGTAAGATAGAATTGGCGTTTAAAGATGTCTATTGCTCAGAGGCGTGATACCACCTGATAAAGTCAGGGAAATAACGCGAAGGTGCAAATAGCGGGGCACGAAAGTTGGAGAAAGTGTAGTAGTAGCCGAGTTTTATCGTAACTGGTGTCTACAGTTTCATCGATAAAAAAGGTGTCTATATTTTTTTATACGCACCTAAAACCAGAACTCCTAGGCGCACATATCGGTACAAATGCGTGTTCTATTCATTTTTTTGTTCTCAACATTTTTGCCAATCATTCGTGACAGAATCAATTCCTGGAGATTGGGCTCATGAAGGATTGTAGAGCTCCATACTCGTTTATGCCTCCATTGCAAGGCAAATATACGCCGGATACGTGTTGTAACAGTGCCATTCTGCTTCGTGCCACGTGCAGTAAAGCAACGAGCCCGTAAATCAAACCGCACAATCAATGTAACTCAGAAGGAAAGCGTCGCCACGACGGCACGCCTCTGTATGTTTGTTTCTCACGACCATCGTTTTTGAACACCATCGAACGAAGCTAGACTGCGATGTTCCCAACTGTCCGTGTTTCAACAAACTATTTTCATGTGACTCGCGCTACGCTCACAGCGCATTCTGGTTCACTTGCCTAAAATTTCAAAAGGATTTTTTTATTTCATTTGTTGTGTCTGTCATCTCCGACTTCTCCCGTTTTCCCGTTTTTTGAAAGATCTGAAGGCCCGTTCACAAACTTGCCTTTGACTAGGACCGACTGAAAAGAGACCGGTTTTTAAACCTCTTGCGACGACTTACGACCGACTGCGCAACAATGCAGTCAGTTGTAGTCAAACGCAAGTTTGTAAACGGGCCGACTCGCTTTCCTCCGTGGCCAGGCCAAGACGCAGCACGCTTGTCAGGCCGAAGGCGAGATCCACACGACCCCCGAAATTCGATACATGCCACAAGAGAATTGGACGAGTGGTAGGCAAGGCGTCGGCGTTTCTCTTTTCCGTTCCCGGTATGTCGCCTCAGGAGCTCCCCTCCTAGTCTTATCCCTTTTGGAGAGAATAAGGGACGCCCGAGAGCGACGGCTGAACAACGGGGGCACAAACACGGCCGAATTTGCCTCCTGCTCTTGCGGTAGTTTTCTGAAGAGCCCCAAGTTTGTGTGAGCCCGCAGCAGGAGGTCGCCTCCCGCTATTGGTATGCAGCGCGCGCGACTCAGCCCAGTCTGATCCATTTCGCCTCGTTCCGACTGGTCGCTTTGCGTCCCGGCGAAATGGCGTTTCCCGTTGCCTGTACATAACGCCGCTGTACCTTGCTTGGCGACCCCCCTTCTCCCCCATTTTCTCCTCGCGCGCCAGACTCGTTAACGAAACACGTGATCTGTGGTCCGTCTAGGATGAGCCAAATGGGGCACGCCACACCCCCGTGTCTTGTTGCACAAAGAGCAGTTTGAATGCAACCTGGAGTCTCCAGGGCCATGTTCCGGCGCGGGATTCCCAGGTTTCACCGGATAAGATCGCTAGAAAGAGTCCAAAGCTGGGCACTTTGGCGTAGAAATTCACCATTTACTTTAGTCTGAGTATGATTTCTCTTTTTAAACTTGGTTTTATCTTAATAGTTTTACTTTATTTTCTTTGGTCTTATCTTAACGTGCTTACCTTCCCTGGCAAAGTAAGGCCAAGGATGTTGAAACGCTTGATTGGTCATGAGGTTCAACGTTAGTTTAATGTTTGTCTGTTTGCTCTTTCTGAACAGGTATTCACAGCCTGATTAATTCTTCGCGTGTAGACGAGCAGAGAGGGCAAGGACACTCGGGTTTGATGATTGTACAGACAAAAGAAAACAAATGACCATAGAAAAGACTCTTTCGAAGGTTTTGCGACGGCAGGATCAATAGTGAGCCGAGTAGGAGAACACCATGTGCTTGCTCAATGGGACAAACTAAGTGTGCTCGCTGTTTTTGGCCACATTGGTTATTTAGGTGTTACGCGTAATCCGCCTGTCCTCCATCCCAACCTTAACATCCTCGTCTCATCTTCGAATGTTTCAACTGGTCACTGTTGTCAGAAGGAAGTCCCTTCGTGCCACATCGAACCAGGCCTGTACTTCCGGAGTAGCGTTGTCCAAACTATCCCATGTTCGTTCTCTTCTACATAATTTCTAATTTAGGGCTCAGTTCGAATTACTCTGCTTTGTTGTCTCCGGTAGTTAGACTAAATCACAAGTTACACGATATAGACTGGAAAAAACCAGGGGTTATTGGATGCGATCAAAATTACTAGAAATCACGCCGAATTCAAGCTTCCTGAAAGAACAGCCCTTTAAGCTTTGCTGCTGCTCTTAGAAGCTGAGTGAAATGCAAGATGCACGAGGGAAGCTTTTCTTACAGGCGTACCCAGGGGAATAGCCATTTAACGCCCACTCACGGTTAATCCCGGAAAAGAAGGAACATATCACGAGCGGCCAACCATGATGCGGTTTCATTGATTTTCCATTTTCCTACCAAGACATGTTCGTGTCAACCACTACGACACAACCGACAGGGTCCCCACTGACACAAAACTCAGTATATTACATATACGTGCTCATGTTTTTTTCGTTTGTCATATATGTTCTGTTCGCATAGCTATATGTATACTCGTGTACATTCTGTTTATAAGAGAATTTTTGCTATTGTCATTACCATTATTACTATTAATTATTGCATAACGTGATCACTTCCGTCGCTATTGAGTATCGTGGGACATCCGTTGAGTGTGTATAATTTAATGTACATTGCCATTAAAAAAGTATTGTTAATACAAGCTATGTGCAATTGTTGTGTGTGTGTGTGTGTATCAATGTGTGGAGCATCAGCTGCCCACACCTAGGCACTCCTGGCCGGTCCTGGCTCCTGCACTTTGCCTGCCCTACACCTAAAAAGTTGGTAGACAGATTTTGTTAAATAAAACGGTGAAAACTAGCATATTCGAAAGCACGTTTGCTACGATATCTAAAACAAAAGGCAACGAACCAAATATGAACTAGAGATGGAGAAGCACGAAAAATGACTGGAGTTAGAGGGCAAGGAAACGGACGGGAAAATGTCAACCTAAAGGAACATTCAGAAAGTATAATTAGAAAAGGGAAAATAAATGCAGGCATTATGAAACTCAAGGCATTATGGAATTGTGATGGATATGGAGCAGAGCTGGCAGTAATGCAATTACTGTAATGAAATTACAGTAATTTAATTACTTGTTCCAGTAATTAGTAATGTAATTCATTACTTTTTGTAGCAGGTAATTTAGTAATGTAATGAATTACTCCAGCGACGGTAATTGTAATTAAATTACCTAATTACTTTTTCGCACCAGGCATATTTTTTTGTGTCCACAATACACAAGAGCGCTTTCCTCTTTATTTTACTTTTTCTTTTTCCTCTACACGTTTCCGAAAAACGCTCTTTGGCCGCTGCTATGTTGCTGATGCTAATGCGGCTGGTGCGACTCTCGCGCCGGCTATCAGCTAGACATTTTCTGCCACTCTCTTGAACTGTGAAAACCCGCTCAGCGCGATTCTCTACCTATGTTTTGCGGTTTTGCATTCAACGTTTTCTGGCCCCTCTTGAAAGTTTCCGCTCACTTTTTCTGGTGCATACTGCGTACCCTCTCTGATGGAAGGCACTTACCAGGGCTGGTAAGTGCCTTCCATTCGAGCTTTTCTGCTCGACATTCTCGGGAAACGAAGGAGGGGAAGGAGGTCGAACTAAGGCCCCTGCTGGAACGGCCCTCGACGCGATTTTGCGAACAGTGACAATTGTTCTCCCCCCTCCCAGATATAATCCGCGTAGGGTCCTCAGTCATCTCCAAAAATAGTTGTCCGGGTTGGGGTGGGAAACGGATCAGTCGCGTGCGTTCCTCTGTCCATCGGTAAACATGCAACAGAGTTCTAGCTGTGTGCCATGAACTGTGTAAATAATGTAAATAAAGTTATCTGTAAAAGGAAGTTATCAATAGCTCCTTTATATTTAAAAGTATACAAAAGTAATGCGAAAGTAATGTCATTACTTTTAAAAGTAATTTGTAATGGTAATAATTACTTTCTGGCTGTGGTAATTTGTAATGTAATTTAATTACATTTCAGCAATTTTCAGCAAAGTAATTAGTAATGTACTTTAATATCAAAATATGAGTAATTTGGCCAGCTCTGATATGGAGTGATCAGGGGTATATGGAAAGGAGTATTGGTGCTAGGATTGTCTTTTCAATGGGTACTGTGTATGAGATCAGAGGGCCGATCAAGATTGCAAGTTAAGGAGCGTGTGCAGGTTAGCACTGAGAGCGCATGGGAACAGATCAAATGAGGGAGTGCAGGGGGGCGTGGGCTCGTCGTCCTTTCAGAGCAGAGAGGCAATCAGTTTTTACTGAAATGAATGACGCCCGGTGGGCACGGAATGTATTCAAGTATTTATGCATGAAACATTTAAACACAAAATGGACAAACCGAACCCGAAAGCTGAAATACCTGCACACTAGTGATGGGGTCTGAGCAGTCCAGTTCAGTGAAAGAGGCAGAAAGGAAAATGTGGGATGGAAGAATTTGAAAAACAGGACATAAGAAAGGAAAAGGTGTATAATAATTCACCAGAGTTTTTTGCTGTTCCAGGCGAGAACGGGAGTTTAAGGACAAAGCCGTATAGAAATAAATTTCAAGAGATAGACACATTATGTGCCGTATGCCATAGTGAGGGTGCGACGCTAGAACATTTGGTTTTGAAGTGCACGAGGCTTCGCCCCGCCCTCCCTGAAGGGGTAACGGATTCGGCGGGAGCGCTGGGTTTCGGTGGCGAAGATGGAAGAATGCAGGAGGAAAGTATTACAGCCACAAGAAGTAAGTTGGAAAATTGGTGGATATTATCCAGGGATATTTGAATGAAGTAAAACTAATAACCAGCACAGCTGGGGACAGGCGGGACAGAAGAAAATTGGGACTCCCTTTCGTATGGCTCCGGCACAAAGTCTCAACCCTCTCTCCCAGTGGGCCCGGTGTTAGGGTGACGCCGACTAAGTTTGACCAGAGGAAAATTTGCGACTCCCTCGCCGGGATCCGCAAATTTTGCCCGGTCCCCCAAAGATCATCCTGCGATATCTCAGATTACCTGGTAATAGTTAGAAATATTCGGAGAGGGAGCAAATTGCTTCATAGGGAGTTCGTTTCACACGCTCTGGCGCCGTGCGAGTTCTCTCCCAGAAGGCATCCCACTCGCGGAGTGCCGCACGGAGAGCCGCACGGAGAACCGACCCCGAACCAGACATGCACAAGTTACTAAAAAAAAGTAATTAAGTTAAGTTCCTGAGTGTTGACGTCAAAAGTAATTTGAGTAGAGTAGAAATTATTCAAATAGAAAGTAATTGAGAAAATTACTAAATACCGCAAAAAAGTATCGAGTTACTTTTGAAGTTACTTTTATATGTTTTTTTTATGGTAAGAAAAAAGTGCAGAGGTTTTGATCCGTTAGCAAAATTGTGCTAGCCAAATATAAATCGGGTAGGTTTTTTTTTTTTGTTTGTCTTTTTGTTTTGTTTTTTTACAGAAATGCTTTAATGGCTGGTTCTCCTACTGCGTGCCTAATTGTTTTCTACTTTCTTGTTTGTTTGGTCAATGATGTACCGGGAATGTGTCATTTCTACTTTGAGGTTTATAACTGTCTGAGCGTAATTTTTTAAACAGTGTTTGCTTGTTTACAGTGTTGCGTAAAACACATCTGAAAAGTACTTGAAGTAAAGTACAAAGTAAATGAGAGGTTATGTACTTCAAGTAAAGTAGTAAGTACACCGGGTGGAATGTACTTGAAGTAACGTATATAAATACAATATATTTCAAGGTAAAGTACAAGCAATTTTAACAAAATCTTTCATGATGCTTTTTCATTCCCCATACAATGTTTTGTTTTTGTTTTTTGTTTTTTTTTACTGGTATGGCATTGTCTTAGGGGTAATCAAAAGTCCGTCAGTTTTTTTTTTTTTTTTTAGGGAAATGGCAGCAATTATTGTATAAGGTCAAGTCGCCGCAGAGTAATTGTTTTACTCTCGCTGACGAGGTATTTAACACAATCAACTTATAAGGCACTTTGTTTCATCAGTCTTACAGCCGCCATTACTTCACTCAGAGAAATGACTAGATGGCGTCTTAAAAGAGCGCGTTTTCACACAACGATACCGCCATTTTTGTTTTCAAATTCCGGGAATGTACATTTGAGTCGGGAGTTTTACTTTCCTTGGAAAATACCCAAGTACATGCTCAGAGAATTCACTTCGAATAAAGTACAAATTTTCTAAAGAGTAGAACTTTAAGTACCATGTACATAGAGTACTTCCCAACACTGCTTGTTTATTATTTTGATATAAAAACGTTGGGGGAATTACTACATGTTTTTCGAACGATCTTTGAAGATCTGCATATTCTGAGTTTTGGGAGGAAAGTCAACGGCAAAAAGGTAATCTTAGCGTTGCCAATTAGCACACGATTCTTCTAGTACATCACAAACTACGGGAGCATTTTGTTGACTCCTTTAGTGAGGATGCAGTGTGTGCACCTCCTGTAGTGGGCGAGAGTTTCTACGTTGGAGAGAAGTGGGGACCAGCCCTTGCTTCAAATGGGTCAAGCCTCCTTGAGCTTCGGGACACAGAGAAACACCAGTCTTCTGCGCTAATCCCGCAGTTACTCGGCCTCTTGCGTCGCGTCTGTTCGCTCCCCGCGCCTCGTAGCCGTGTTGTTGCAGTGTGTGTGTGTGTGTGGGGGGGGGGGGGGGAAGGGTCCCCCCCTGTGAAAAGTTTAGGGGGGTTACGGACTCTCCAAACCATTTTCTCCACCCCCCCCCCCCCCCCTTCCTGCGCCACGTGCTTGCTGCCCTGTTTGCAAATATCAGGTTATATTCCAACATCTTACCTCCTTTGTGCAGGAATGTTTGTTGATAGGCAAACCAACCACTAAAATTCGAAAGTAATTTGTTTAACTTGAGTAGAACTTACTCAAAAAAGTAATTAAAGTAAACAAACTAATTACAGCAATAAAAATGTAATTGAAAGTTACTAAACTACTCAGAAAAGTAGTTATACTACAGTAACCTGAGTAGGGTAGTTGAACGACGAACAAGTCTGCCCCGAACGAACTTGGCAAATGCACCGAGTGCAGACTGATGCTGTCGCCATCTGTTGTAAGAGTACCGACCTCAACCGAAACCAGTGTCTTTCTGTTCGACGTGAGGGGTGAGAATACGAGAGTGTAGTCGCTGCCAACGTTTATCTATAAACGTTGGTCGTTGCAACGTGTAGTTTATAGGCCTTGGGAAAAGACAAGCGCCGAAAGACTAGGACCAGGTAAGAAGACGACGACACAAGGCGCGCTCGCAACTGTAGTTTTATTTATGGAAAAACATAGTCTTATATACACTTAAAAAAAAAAAAAAAAAACACCCACGTCACTTTCCACGTGCCCACTCTTTATCCAAGAATAGACACTCCTTTTCTGACAGAGTCACTGAAGGCTCGCTTATGCACTTATCTGCACCCTTCCTTATTGCATACGCCTCATGAATTTCCCTTGTAATCTTTTTGCTGTATCGCCCCAGGATTGCCACGTCATTGAAAACTGGTGTGCACTCACATCGGTTGCAATGCACAGCCAGGTGCCCTGAAGGTGACTGTTTTAAGGAAGCAGCATGCTCTCCTGCGCGATCATTTACACAACGCCCAGTTTGGCCTACGTAAGACCTACCGCAAGAAAGCGGAATGTCATACACAACACCAGTGTGACATTCTACAAAC